GGGGGCTCCAGCCTGGCGTGTGGGAACCAGGGGCGCCCAGAATGAGGCCCACAAGAGATCCCCTCCGGAGCTCGGAGTCCGAGAAGTTGGAGAAGACCGGCAGCTTCTGGGTGTCTACGGGCAGTGGGTGGGGGCGACATTTCAGGGCCCAGAGTTCGGAACCCTTAAGTGCGGGCATGTAAGGCTTGCTCCTGCAGGAGTCGTCAGGGTCACCAGTCCCCTCCCTGCAAGGCAAGTGGTCCCCGAAACTCTTCCAGAAGTTGTCAGGCACCCTTCCTTAGGCTGTGCCCAGGGGGGTACCCCGTGGACCGAGGGAGCCTTCGAGAGGGGGTGTAAAATTGTTGGGGTTCGGAGGTGATCAGCTTTGTCCCTTACCAGAGGTTTTCTCCTTTAGACGCTTGACTGGAAACATACTTCCAAAAGAAGCAGGGTACCTTGGTGAGAGGAGAGGGGCAGAGGCCTTGCTCTGGGAGAGGGTTGCGGCGCCTGGCCTCCATGCCAAGCTGGCAGCTCGCCCTGAGTTTCAGGCCTGGCCCCAAACGTTGACTTCATAACTCCAAAAATTCTAGAGGGACCCAGAAAAGCAAGATGAAAAGGAAAAAAAAAAAAAAAAAAACGAAAAAACTTCTCGGATACAGAGATTCTAGGGTTCAGAAAGGGTTAAGATTAAGGTTGGGGTGTGTGTTGAATTTCTCAGATGTGGGCTTAGGGCCGCTGAGCGCAAACAGCCCCCCTTTTCTCACAGGTCCTCATCTGTGGGGTTTGTGGAGCTTACAAGACAGGCTTTGTTGTCCGCGTGTCTCCTGCCTCCTTCACCGCTCTGGGTGGGCAGGGCAGAGAATGTTCTCAGGCTTCCCTTGGTTCTGCTGAGGCAGGGGCCCCACACTGGAGCCCTGGGCATTGGGGTCACAGAGGGTGATGGGGACACCCACTTAGGACCCCTGCAGTCCTGTTGGACTGGCTGGTGCCTGTATGGGTTTTCTCCCATCTCCTGTGGTACATTCCAGGAGGGCTGCCCCAGATTGCTATTATCTTTTGTTGCACCCCCCCCCCCCAGCAGACCCCATGCCGAAAGCCCTGTCTCCCTATTTGCATCCAAGATGGACTCTGCGCTGCTCTTCCGGGCTTCCCTGTCATCATCTCTCACGCCCTGCAGCCCAGCCTCCTGCTTGTGGGTTGCCAAGCCGCGGCCAGGGCAGCGGTGGCGGAGTTAGACAAAGCCCCGCGTCCCTGCTGGAGAGCCCTCCCTGGGGGCGCCCCGAGTGGCGGGAAGGCCGCCAGCTCCCCAGGCCCCGGCCAGCTCTTTGTCTGGCGTGGGGGCGGGGAGCTCCGGCCCCAGGAGCTTCCTGGCCCTCCTGCTCCTGCACACTGGCTCATTGTCTGATGCTCCGGAGACGCCACGCGCTGACGTGGAGGCGGCTTCTCTTGGTGGCCTCCCTCGGCCGGCCGACCCACTGGCCCTCCCCGTCTGCGGGAAGGAGTGGCCAGGAGTGGAGCTCGGGCCCTTTCACCAACTCTTTCCAGGGCCAGAGCCACCCCCGCCAGCGCCAAAGAAGGGACTGGCAGTGCCATAGGATCGGGGTCACCTGCCACATTACTGGGATGACAAAACAGTTCTGCCCTAAACTATTGCCTGACTCTCCCCTTCACCAGGATGGAGTGATTCCTCCCTCCTTCCTTTCCCCTTGGTCCCCACAACCTAAGCCAGCACCATCAAGGACAGCAGGGTCTGGGGCCTTTAGATGTTCGGCAGGGAACCGTTGCCTCCCGCCAGTGGGGAAACTGAGGCCCAGAGAGGGAAGGGTGTTGTCAAAGGTCACACAGCCAGGAGTTGCCCTTGTTCATAGGAAAGAAGACAGGAAAGGAGGAGAGAAGGCAAGGAGGGGTGGCGCAGAGCATGCCCGGAGGCTCTCCCCAGCCGGGAGCTGGAGTCTTACAGCGGCCTTGAAGAGTTAGGCGACTCACCTTCCCCAGTCTGGCACTTAGCACCTGCGCCTTCCAGAGCCCAGGAAGAGGCCATAACTTTTGTAGAGTGGGATTGGAACTCGGGATCAGAACTGAGTCCGTGAAGCCCGTGCCCCTCAGACTACACTCACCGCCCCCCAGCCCCCTGGAAGGTTCAGAAAGCTGGGGCTCAGGTGATACGGTGGGGGGACACAGGAGGAGGCACCAGCTCTTCCCTGACACCTGTTGTTGCCTTGGAGAAGCTACAGATGGTGCTAGGAGTGCATCTCCGGCCAAGGCCTCACCTTACTGTAGTCCAGGTGTGTTGTCATCCCTACTTTGTGGATGGGGAAACTGAGGCCAGAGTGGCCTGGTGCTTGGTACAGTTACTGGCTTGGGGGTGACACAGTCAGGATTCAAACCCACATTTCCAGGTGGTGTCCCAAGCTTCAATGTAAACCTGAGCTTGGGCTGCCACATCTGGGCAGGCCTGGGGCCTGAGAGAGCATCCTGGTGCCACAGGCGCTCCTGGGCCCTGGGACTGGCTCCTGGATGGCGGGGGCGTCATTTGCTGGAGCGTCTGTGCTGAGTGGCTGGGCAGCCCCTGCCCCAGGTCTGTGTCCCCCTCTGCCACCAGTGGCCCCTTCCCGCTCCCTCGCCTCAGCTCCTGAACTTCCTTCCGCCCGGCCCCTCCCCTTGCCCACCTCAGCCAAGCAGCTGGCTCTGGCCGGCCTTGGCACCAGCTGTCCATCCCCGGGGCCAGGTCTGCAAGGCTACTGTGTGTGTGAGAGGGACCATTTGGCTCTGGGGGTGGCAGGGGAGGGGAGCTGCTCCCCGTAGGGTGTGGAGCAGGCAGGCGGGCGGCTGCCGAGGACGGAGGACTAGGTGAATTCTCCATGGTTACCGCTGTTTGTAATTCCGCAGGACGGCTTTCACCCGCTAATGGCCACTCAGACGCCATTATGGGTCTGCGTGCTTTCAGCCATGTAGCCCGAGTTGGAACAGCCCCCTCTGAGGATCCCTGATCCAGGAGACCCTGGGACCCTACTCAGTCCTTGCTGGCCAGCCCAGGGCAGGGTCTCAGACTGCTACCTTCTCAAAGTGGGGCCCCCTCTTGGAGCACAGAGCCATCTAGGACACAAAACCAGACTGTCAAGAGGCCTGTCTCCTCTTTTGTGGACAGAGGCTCAGAGAAGTTGAGGGGCTCACTTGAGGTCACACAGACAGCCCAAAGGGAACCGTGTACCATGGGGCCTCCGGCCCGGGGCTTCCGTCTTGCAGGCTTCTCCTGTCTTGCCCAGCCTATAAATGCTCAGCAGCGGTTTGGGTACACAGCAGCAAGAACACGTGTGTGTCAGGAATCTTGGCCCAGGTGTAGACCAGCCTCAGGAGCAGGCAGTCTCATGGCAGCGAAGTGGCTCTAGGGTATCCCCCTCTGGGGAGCAGGACCTAGGAAAGGGGCTGGCCAGGATTTGGCCTGGAGGGGAGATGTCAGTTGCAGCGTGGGTATCAGTCCCAACTGCTGGGCAGAGGCTGCAGGGTGGGAAGGAGCGGTTTTGTGATCGCCTAGTGATGCCTGCTGTGGTGGCAGGGATGAAGACCTGGGGCCTTGCCTACATCTTTACCGTTGATCATGTAGGTCAAGTGTCAGAGCCAACGCCGGGGAAAGTAGCGCTGGAGCCAGTGCCCTGTCCTGCAAAGGCAGAGCGGTGCTGCTTCTGGAGAGCGTGCTGGGCAGAGGGGGCCCGGTCACCGTGCTGAGAGCCCGCGCCTTGGGCACAGCGTGCCACAGCCATGTGATTCCTGACTCCTCCTCTCCTGCCCCACAGCCGGGAGTGTTCACTCCCCTTCCACCAGCATGGCCACGTCCTCTCAATACCGCCAGCTGCTGAGCGACTACGGGCCGCCGTCCCTCGGGTACACCCAGGTATGGCAGGGGGATGATGGCATGCGAAGGTACGGGGTGGCCGTCCTGGGCACCGCGAGAGACGGGAGACGTGTTCCTGACCATCAGGGACGCAGCCGGTGGACGAGACAGAGGGAGAACACTGCTGGTGGGACAGCGTTCTGGGCATCCTCAGCCCAAGGCTCCAGCTCAGTTCCTGGTCGAGTCGCAGGGTGTCAGAACAGAGAGACGACCGGGACCTCGGGTCACTGGGGACACACCCAGGTGGGAGGGAAGGGGAGCACACGCAAAGGCCACAACCCCGAGAGCCTCGCACCCCGTGGCGTCCCAGGAAGGCAGGCCTGTGGAGACCTGGACCCCCAAGTCTCTAAGCTTCACTCCCACTCCCTGTCCACAGTGTCCTTGGTAAAGACTAGGACACACCCCAGATCTCAGTTTTCCACAGTTAATGGAAACAAACTGCATTTCATCGAGAGCTGGTGGTTCCGTGCAGGACGGTAGCGTGAGGCTGCGTGGGTGTCTGCCCGGGCTCCGCCTCCTCCCAGACAGTGACCGCTTCTTGAGGCCCGAGACTTGGTTTCCTGGCCCGTCAAGCGGGGCTCGTGCTCGTGCTCGTGCCGAGCTCGGTGGGGCAGTGAAGCATCCTCACGGTGGGCTGTTAGCTTCAGCTACGTTCGAATCTCCAGGGGACTGTGCTTCCTGGAGTGGGAGCTGGTGAGCTCGGCCCCCTGTGCTGGAACATTCCGAGGTCGCCGTGGAGATTGTTTCTCGGAATGGGGTGGCCAGGGCTCCCGCCCGGGGCTCAGCTCGGTGGCAATGCCGCGTCAGGCCGTCCTGTCCGCCGAGAAGCTGGTGCGAGGGGAGCGGGGCCGCGTCAAGCCGCGACCAGGGTGGGGGGACGCCCTGGAGCAGAACACAGCCCTCCGGCCGTGAGGCGCCGGCGCCGCGAGGACACACCGGCGCAGCGGAGGCGGGGCCCGGAGGCCCGGAGGCGGAGGCGGCCGGACCGGAGGGAGGCACCAGCAAAGGCCTTTCGGAAGGAGATGGCCGCCTTGGTGCAGCTGTGGGGAGAGGAGGCGGCCGAGGCCGAGCGGGGGTCTGAACGGGCGGCCTCGGCCCCGCGGCCCACGGCGAGCCTGGCCACACTGCTCTGGGTGCTCACCTTGGGGGGCTGTGGGATGGCCATGGGGCCAGCCGGCGGGAGGATGGGCTAAATTGAAGCACAGACCAGGGTCCCCTTTGTAGCCCTCCTGACTCCATCTCATCCAGCCTTGTCCACTCTCTGCACACTCAGCCCCCAGGATATACCTTCCCATCCATCTGGGATCTCGGGGTTTCCCTGCCTGTCCTTCTGCCTCTTGTTGATCTGGTGGGAGAGCCTTCTGGGCACCTGTGCGTGGGTTCCCTGGAACCAGGCTCCCGAGCCTGTGCTGTTGTGGGGGTTGGAAGCCCAGGTGGGGAGGTGCCTTGCACAAGCTGAGGCAGCAGCTTGGGGTCCTCAGCCAGGCTGTCCCCCATCATCGCGGCAGCCCTCACGTCTCTGCTCTTGTCCCCCACTCGAGACCTGCTCTGCCCTCGCCGCTCCCTGTCAACAGAGATCAAGAGTAGGGTGGCTGTGGCCCTGGCCACAGCGTGGGGTTGTATTGGGGTTCACGGTCATCTGAACCTATCTCCTCTTGCTTCCAGGGAACCGGGAACAGCCAGGTGCCCCAGAGCAAATATGCTGAGCTGCTGGCCATCATTGAAGAGCTGGGGAAAGAGATCCGGCCCACCTACGCAGGGAGCAAGAGCGCCATGGAGAGGCTGAAGCGAGGTGAGGCTGGGCCCGGGCGAGGCAGACCTGAGTGCCGGCTGGGACCTGCTCTGATGTTGGAGGGTAGGGTGAGGAAGAGCCCCCCCCGCCGTCTGGGGTTCCTGTGCTGTGGCAGACTTCCTGTCTGATGGGGAGGTGTCAGGTGGGCTCGGTGGGGTCATTGGGGCAAGCACTGATCCTTGGGATCTGCTGGGATAGGGCTCTTGGAGACCTCTTCTCTTCAGATGAGAGCTTCCGAGATAGGCAGCTCCAGCTTTGAGTCTGTCCTCGGGGGGCCTCCGTCTCCTGCAGCTTTACCTCCGGGCCTCCCCAGTCCTGGGGGTAGCAGGGAGCACGTACAGGTGCCTCCAGTGGGTGAGGCAGGGACCACAGAAAGTGCGGTGCGGGGCCTGGAGCTGCGTCCGGAACTGCCCTCTGCTGCTAGCTCTGTGGGGCACGAGTCCTTTGCTTGGGACGGGAGCCTGAGCGCGCCTGTGGGTTCCTTCGTAGCAGAGGGGAGGGCAGATGGTGTCAGAGAGAAAGGCCTTATGTGAGCTGGGATTGGCTAGCCGACTTCAGGGGGAAGTGGACAGGCTGCTGCCTCGTTACGTAAGAGGAGAGGCAGGGAGGACAAGTTTGTTTCAGAAGGCGGCCGTGCAGGGCAGCTTCCACCGATGCACTGCCTTAATTTCAGGGTCAGAGATGCCACTTTAGAGAAAGATGTGAGGGAACGTCCTTTGGTTGTAAAGCTGTGGGAAATAAGGGGCCTGCTGCCAACGTCCTGACTCCCCAGCTGAGGACACACTCCTTGACGGGTATCCTGGGATCCTTTGTGGAGAGGCAAGCTGATTGTGGGGCTAGTGTGGGGGATACCAGGGACAGGCGTGGGGCCTGGGAGGCCTGCCAAGGTAGAGGGTGTCACTGCAGGAGACTTAGGGGAGATCTGGAGCCTGGCCCCCTCAATCCCAAGGGGTGGGTGGGCTCTTGGAAGGCCAAGGAAGGAAGGAAGAGCTTTGTGGTAACCGGAGTGCTGGTTATCCTGGGAAGACGCTGACCCCGAGATCTGGTCGGGAATTTGTAGTCACCTCCGAAAAGCCTGTGGTTCCAAAAAGCCAGTACGTGAATATACCGAGTGGCCATCCTGGATGGATCCTGGGCCAGCTGCTGGTCTTACAGTAACGAGTAAGACCTAACGTCGCCCCCTGGCCAGTTAGCCCAGGCTAGCCGATTTCATGAAAGAGGGTGGGAGGGGCCTGGGGAAGTTAGGAATATTGACAGGTGAGCAACCTACAGCCCATGAGCCAGGAATGGTGTTTACGTTTTGTCATGTCTGGAAAAAAATCAAAAAGAAGAATCCTATTTTGTGACGTGTGACAGTTTTGTGGAGTTGAAACTTCAACGTCTTGTGAGTAAAGATATATTGGCACATGGTCACATCCATTGCTGGTGTGCTGTGCGTGGCTGCTTCTGTGATAAAATGGCAGAGTTGAGTAACTGGGGCAGGGACTGTATGGCTGGCAAAGCCAAAAACACTAGTTGTCTGGCCCTTCACAGAACAAGCATGACGACCCTTGAGCCAGGCCGGAAGGTTTGGGAGGTGTGGCCACCTCTCAGTTTTAGCTGTTCTGGGGCGGGGAGGAGGGGGTGTCGTTCCTGATTTCCTCTGGGAGTCACATCTTAGGAGAATTCTGGGTGTCTATTAAAATTCAAGGGCAGACCCTCAACGCGACGCACACAGTGGCTGCGACAGCGGGCTCAAACACGGCCATGATTGTGTGACGGCGTAGGACTGGGGCACTGTTTTCTTTTATACACAGGGTTGCTGGGAGTCAGAACTGACTCAATGGCACGCAGCAACAACAGCAATGACATTAAAATCAGTAATTCATGAAGTTCAGTAGACGCCAAAGGGAACCACTACACCAGAGAGATTGAAAAAAAAAAATCCACTCCCACTCAGTTCCAACTCATAGTGACCCTGTGGGACAGAGCAGACCGCCTCATAGGCTTTCCAAGGCTGTGAACTTCCACAGAAGCAGACTTAGTCCTATCTCTCTCCCATGGTGTGGCTTGTGGGTTAGAACCCCAGCCTTTTGGTTAGCAGCCCAATGCTCGAGCCACAGCCCCACCACAGCTCCTTACCCAGAACAAAGACGGAGGGGACTGCCAGAGCAGAAGATGGTGGCAGGACGTCACTGGGTACTGAGCGGAGCATGAGTGGTGCTTGTCTTGTCCCCTGGGATGGGAGGCTTGAGGCATTCCCTGGCCACCCTTGATACTAGTCGAGCCCTGTCTAAAAGTCAGAATACGCACAAGGCAAAGAGAAGCGGCAGTGGTTTGGAAGGAGTCGAGTCTCCAGAGTGAGGCAAGCTTGAAGGACTCGGGTGGAGACACGGCCTTCCCATCAGCCTCAGAATGTCATGAAGGAAAGCTTGCTGCTGGCTCCTTGGAGTGCAGGAGGCGGGGAGGGGGCACCAGAGGAATCTCGGCGCAGAGGGGAAGGCTTTGAAGGTGGCATGCCGTCTGCCAGGACCCTGTCAAACTGCTTGCACGTCTGAGTTGGGTGCAGGTCCCAAGTTCCCTTCCAGAGTGAGGCCTTTAGCAGCCGGGCCGTCAAAGGCTTCTCTTCTGGCCTGGGATGGGCTGTCTCGGGTGTGTGAACCGGGCAAGCCCCAGCCTCCTCTTCCTTTCCAGGCATCATCCACGCCAGAGGCTTGGTCCGGGAGTGCTTGGCCGAGACGGAACGGAATGCCAGATCCTAGCCGCCTGTTCGCTTGGGAGGTTTTCCATCTCTTCCAAGATGCGAAGTCAGCTTATCTTTATCTCTGTGTTTTGTTTTCAAAGTGGTAACTCTTTTTTTCCCCCTGCCCATTTCCCCTCCATGGTTCACCAGGCTGTGAGCTTGCAGTCTAAGGTGAAGACGAAATGTTACCGTTGATTAGCATTTGCAGTAGTTAGGCACTTACTGGGGTTTACTTTTATTTTTTGTTGGTTTTTTTTTAAGCATTGATTGAAAAATGGCACGGCAGGTTACCTTACAGCAAACTGTAGTTTGCCTGCAGGATCCCAGAGTCTCACCTCACTCTTCTCTTTCGAATCCATGTGTGTCACCCAGATTGTCCTCTGTCCCACTGCATAAGCTCGTACGATGGGGCAGGTTTCGTTTCGAATGAACACTGACAGCACGCTTTCTTAGTAGCCGCCCCCATTTCGCCATCCAGCGTAGATTCTGCCTCATGTAACTTTTTTGCCTAAGCGTTTGCATGACTTTTAGTGCTTTGAAGTCAATTTTAAAAAGTGCACAAGTTATAAATACAGAAGAAAGAGCAAAACTGACCAAAATCTGACAAGCACCCCTGGGATTTTCCTACGAAGACTGTGTAGATGCCAGTCCTGCCTTTACTGTGAGTTGATCGAAACATCCGGGAAACACAAACGCCTCAGAAACCGTTTGCATCTTTGTATTTATTACTTGATGTAATAAAGCTTATTTTCATTAACAGTTTGTGTGAACAATGTGGGTTCCTTGGATTTGAGTTTAAAGTCAGATGTGGGGGGGCATGTCAGGGCATTTTCCCACCTGGCCCATGTTTGGTGTGATGATGTCACGCACTTGGCCTAAGTCAGAAGGCAGGCATAGAGGGGGAGAGGCATCTTAGCCGTGTTTTGATGTCGACAAACTCAAGAGTCTGGTAGGAAAATAATAGAAGTAGCGTTACTGACCTTGCTTACTGGACAGCGTAATTAGGCCATTTTCACTTTTTACCAAAACCCATTGCTGTCAATTCTGATAGTGACCCTAGAGGACAGACTAGAACTGCCACCTTAAGTTTCCAAGGCTGTAGATCTTTACAGAAGCAGGCTGTCACATCTTTGTCCTGTGGAGCAGCTGGGGGTTTGAACCACCCACCTTTTGGTAAGCAGTAGACCACTTTAACCACTGTGCCACCAAGGCTCTTTAGTTGTTGTTATGTGCCATCAAGTCGGCCCCGACTCATGATGACCCCTCCTTCGGTTTCCAAGGAGTTATTGCTACAGAAGTAGATTGCCCAACCTTCCTTCAGAGGAGTGGCTGGTGGGTTTGAACCGCCAGCCTTCTGGTTAGCAGTCAAATGCTTTAGGCACTGCTCTGCCAGAGCTCCTAGTTGTTAGGTGCTGCTTACCCTGTGGGCATGTCCTGGGTCTACAGGAATCTTCATAGAACACCGTCACTGAACTCAAGGCAGCCACATTACCCGGTGCTCAACGGGAGAAGTCTGCTCGGCAGCTGGGGGGAGAGGGGCAGGGGCTGCATTGGATGTGTTAAGGGTTCATGTCATGGTCTCCACCAGTGCCTTTCAAGGGGATTTGGAGGTAATTTCTCTCTGTACTGTAGGCCCTAACCCCCAAGTTGTGACAGGAGAGGTAGACTCAGGCAGGAATGTGATCAGTCCCATCCACGAGGCAAGGTCCCAGCCATGAAGGCTGTATGAGTGGGTCCTGGGGAATGGATGTCATTGTATCCCCCTCCATGGAAATGGCAGGAAATTGAATAGGGCCAAGAGTGAAGGGAGCAGACTCAAGGAGGTACTTGTCCACCAGTGTTGACCGCAGCACTGTTGCTTCACAGTGGCATAAAGGTGTCAACAGCCCGTGTCCGTTGACAGATGGTCAGCTGTGGTCCGACAGTCCAGTGGACCCTGACTCGGCCACGCAGAGAAGTAAATGAGGGGGTACGTGCTGTGACATGGCTGAACCTTGAAAGCCTCGTGCCCGGTGAAGGAGGTCCCACTCAAAAGGGCAGATCTGGGATCCTAATGCATGACGTATCTAGACTAGCCAGTGTGGAGCAAGGAAAGCAAGTCCCTGGCACCGGGGGCCGGGGAGGGGAAAGGAGTAGAGTTTGTGTGTGGGGTGACAGCAAAGTGTTGAAAATGGGTAGTACAACAGAAATGTAACTGATGTCATTGAATTGTACACTTGAAAATGGCTAAGATGGCAAACGCTGTTCATATTTGGAAGAGCTACAAGAGACGGTGACATCAAAGCCTGTCCTTCCCCCAATCTCCCTTCCCTCAACTGCCAGTTTCTTGTGTACCATTGAAAGATCCTTGGCTGCCTCTCGAATGGAGGAGTTACGGGAGCCCTGTCCTGTGTACAACGCTTACGCTCCTCAACCAGGCTGCTCCTGGGTGGAAAGAGCCACCTCAGAGACCACTGTCTTTGGGATAGGCCCTGGGCACCCGTTCTGGACCTGGTCTTTCTGCAGAAAAGAGGCAGACCCTGTGACGGCTTTCCCACCTTAAGTGGTGGTAATGTTTGAGGCCTGAACTCCAGAAGTGTTCTAACAAGCCAGACCATCATCTGTGCCCCACTCCCAAACAATGTCAGGTATCTTTACTGTAATTGATTGGTAAATACAACAAGCAAATCTGCAAACAAATCAGGTTTCAGGGACTTCATCTCTTAACGTTGTTGTTGTTGTGTGCCATCGAGTCGGACCCGACTCATAGTGACCCCTCCTTGGGTTTCCAAGGCAGTATCACTATGGAAGTAGATGCCCCATCTTCCTTCCAAGGAATGGCTGGTGGGTTTGAACCGCCAGCCTTCTGGTTAGCAGTCAAGTGCCTTAGGCACTAGTCTTTAGTTCTCCATAAAAACTACCTGAGGTTTTTTTTGCAAAAAATATTTTGTCTTTTATAATAAAACAAGGACCTCTGGTGGTGCAGTGGTTAAGTGCTCAGCTATGAATGGAAAGGCTGGTGGTTCGAACTCCACCAGTGACTGCTTAAGATACAGACCTGGTGATCTGCTCGATTAAAGGTCAGTAGGTTCCCTCAAGTCAGTCCCGACTCACAGCAGCCCGCATGTAACAGCATGAAACGCTGCCCGGCCTTGCACCCTCCTCAGTTGCTGCTGTGCTTGAGCCTGTAGTCGCAGCCGCCTGTCAGTCCATCTTGTGGAGGGTCTTCCTTTTTTGTTTCCTGACCATGATATTCTTTTCCAGGAACTGGGCCCTGCTGATAACACGTCCGAAGTACGTAGGATGAGTCTCTCCACCTCACTTCCAAGAGCATGCTGGCTGTACTTCGAAGACAGGGGACAGCCTAGGAAACCCTGTGGGGCAGTTGAACTCTGTAATGTGGAGTTGCTGTGGGTCAAAGCTGACTTGACGGCACCTGAGTAACAACGTAAGAAATGACATACAGACGTTCACGCAGGTCCACGTGCCACCTAAGCAGCGCAGGGCGGACACCTGACCACCTCCCAGGTTGAAATACAACTTTGCTAGTCACCCCAGAGGCCCCTCCACCTGCTGGATCCCAATGTCGCCTCCTCCCTGCTCCCAAAGTGACAGCAGTCATTTGCTTGTGTTTATAGCTTTATTCCCAAAGTGATCGCCCCTATGCACTAGTTCAGTCTTGTCTACTTTTTTGTTTTAAATAACCCTTTTTAAAGTCTGTTATAAATACTTCCTTAAAAGCTCTACGAAGGCATTGGTGACAGAGTGCCTACCATTATGCCAAGTGCCCCTTGGTGGGCTCCTTGGTCGGAACCCCTAGCTCGTTCTCAGCAGGCGTTTTCACTCACGTCCCGTAGTTCTCTAAGGAGCTTCTTCTTCTCTAGGGTTTCCTTTGCTCTTTTTTTCCTTTCTTGCTTTTTCTTCTCTGCCTCGCGCTTCTCCTTGTAAACAAGACTGTTTTCACCATTGTAGAAAACGTCCACTTTTTCTTGCAGGATTTTCCGAGCTAGCTTCCGGTTCTGATCAACGGATCTCGTCTGATGACACTGTAAGACAGGATGTTTTATAACGTGAAAACCACAGGGCTTCCGGAAGTGGAAGGGGTCTGAGAAACTAGCCTTAAGTTCAATCTTTTTGCTTCAGTCAACAGGCCCAGAGGCACAGCCACCTGTTGAGGGCCCCAGAGTCTCAACAGAACAAAGACCATAATACCCTCTCCCGTGGCTCTGTGGCCTTTGCTTTGTCCTGCCCCCCAGCTGTATTACATGTCTTAGCTGATTGTTTTATAACTGGGAGTGTTAACTTTTGTTTGTTTTGACTCAACAATCCAAAACCCAAAAAGCCAACCTTATTACCATGGAGTCTGTGGGGTTTTCTTGGCTGTAATCTTTACGGAAGCAGACTTCCAGGTCTTTCTTCTGTGGTGCCTGCTGCTGGGTGGGTTTTGAACCTCCAATTTCTAGGTTAGTAGTCAAGCACAAACTGTACCACCCAGGGACTTCAGAAGCAATGACAGACTTCAAATAATTTAAAATCCCCAAATAATTTTGGAAACATCAACCGACTCATCTAGTTTGTAGCCAGGAGACCAGCACTGTGCGTGCACTATTTGTAAACGTGAAGTTCTGAGAGAAGAAAACAGCACTTTAATTAACTGTGCCCTTCATTATATAACACTGGTATGGATGGGTGCCTGTCAAAAGTCAGCAAAACTGATGGGAGATTTCTCGTGCTAAAAGAAATGTTGTGAGATTAGGATGACAGAACAGGACTATAAGTAAACTGGGGTGAAGTTATACAAATGGTAAGTAAACAAAAATAAACCATATCAGGTTTCAGAAATTTTGCTTGTTGCACGTGAACAGGAATTTTTTTTTCCCTTCCCAACAGATCAAAGTGATGGAGGTTTTAATTGATGTGCTCTTGGCTCAAAAACTTGGCAGTAAAAGAGAGAGGGAAAAAAAAAGTGAATTCTGGCAGTGAAATGATGGTTGTTAAGGACATGGACTTTGAAGAAGAATGGAGAAACCAAAGATGCGTGGAAACAATTAGTCCAAGTG